ATTTCGCCGCATCTCTATGGCATTCTCTTCAACATTTAGGTTGAATCGGTGTTACCTTTCCGCGGAAAATGGCTTTTTCCTGCATGGAGCAGTATGGGAATTCTTTTCTATCCGTCGCCTAGTCACTCCATGAGATCACGAGAAACTTTTTTTCCTACTGCTGGAACTGTGTAGTACCATAGCCCTAGTTGTCATAAATACATTAAATCCCACTGGAGATATGTCGCCTGCTTCCAGAATGAACACTTACGGAGAGTACAGTGCAGGGTACGAGTGTCAAGTTTTCTTCGCTGGAAGCCTTAAACGAAATGTACTCTTCTGGCTATAATATTTTGAGAGATAAGTCACCCCCTCTCATTGGCGCCATTATTTTGTACTCGTTGTTGTACTACTGTTATATGAACCTCGTCATTTTACAGAAGTCGCTTGATGACGTGTCTAATTTCGATTCCGAATTCACCCAGGAAATGCCACAACTAACGCCAATCGATCGCTTGTTTCTCATGAATTTGGATCAAACCGAGTTCGAAGGCTTCTCATACGTTAATCCAGAATTTGTGCAAGAAATTTAAATCCCCTTTACTCCTTTTGCTCCCATACAAACTTTGAATGTCAAGCACTTCACTTGCAGTTTTTACAAAATTTCACTCATGACACAGCTACAGTTGATGTCTCTTTATTGGCTCTCTGGTTTGTGCGTTTGTACTACCTTTCGTTTCACTGAACTTCTCTTTCTTTTAGTGCACTTCAAATGTGACATTTCCTCGCTTTGCTGAAATGTTTGACCTTACAAGGGAAGTCATTCAGGGCATGGTGCGCTTTTATAAACGGTTCTCTTGCATATTGTAGGGGCTCATGCAAGGACCTGAAAAGTGTGCTTCATTTTCGCTGCGCGCTTCCAGGAAAGGTAAAAAAAACGAGTGGAAAGAAATCTGTGGGAAGCGCTTCGTGGGTTTCTGTGCGCTGAAAATCACTTGCAAACTTCACCTGTCGCTGAGTGGGGGTGCGAGCGGCTTCTTGGAAGTGTTTCTTCAACGATCGGGCTGCCTAGTTTATACCATGGAGGACTCTCAATCTGATAGTGAGGGTGGGGTTGATGGTTCGACTCCCTTTTGGTTGCGAGTTTTGCATTTTCCGTTTCGCTGTTCTCGCTTCCATATGTGTCTGTGCGTGAGTATAACATGGACATTTGCCATTTATTTGTACATTCTAAATAGTTATACTGTGAGGTACTCTAGTTCTAACACCTGTTGTGGTGGCGTATCGAACCACAAAATGAAACTGGAAGAATTTATTAGGAGAGGTTAATTAGGAGAGGTTAATGTTCTCGTTACTTTTCTTTGTATTGTTTTGTTTTGTAACTTATCTGGTTTCGCTCATAATGTAGCGCACCCGTGCGTGCATGATAAATAAATAAATAAATAAAAAATTAGAAGAGAAACGAAATAAATGCAACAAATTGAGATTAGCAAGGGAGTCCAGGAGGGTTTAGAAGAGTCGAGGGGCACGGCAAATGGTGGCTCCTCCCGAAGAAATGTCGGTACGCCACGGGGGGGGGGGTCTAGAACGTCCTGCAGGGATTGAGTGAGTAGAAGAGGAATGTTACTTACTTGTATCAGGTCCCTTTTATGCCAGTTCCTACCGCGCGGTCACAACATACCCGCGATCAAAGGGGCCTGTCGCTGCTACTTGACTGGTACCTAGATCCTCCCTTTGCCCGTTTTGATCCCTTGACCACGCCTTCGCTCTCGGTGGTTGCTCTGATCAGGCTGCCTCTCGCTCGGTGACCCCCGTGATCATCGCGAGCGTCCTAGTAGGCCCTCCGCTTCAGGGGTCGCCTTTCCGGGAATCTTATCTCCCTCGACTCTCCTTCGCGACAATACCCCTTTAGTCGGTGATATTCAACCATTGAGTTTTCACATACTGTCAAGCAAGATTGTTGCTGAACATTGGTATTTATAGGCTGATCAGTGATTTGAGACGGTATCAATCTATCTAAATCTCGCAATCAAATGTGATGAGTTGCTCGCAGTTATACAGAACAACGAGCAGCGTAGGGCACAATTGTCGCTACGCTATCACTAGTATGCTGACTTGGCGGCGGTCCCTGGTAACAAGCAATGAACTGAACATGGCAAACAGTTATGGACTTTTCTTTTTCAAACTACTTGAGAATCTTGTTTGAAGTGGCTCTTTTTGTAACTTTTGCACGAAGACCTCTACCGAATGGTCCCTATTCCATGCTCCGCCCACTTCTAGAATATCCGTAGATATCACATGTTCATTTGTGGCCCGTTTGACCACAATCCGCGAAACCCCCAAACAGCCCTTACATTGTACGAGCAGGCATTGTCGACGCTGGCAAGGCATTAGTTTAATTACCCAAGTTTGGGGTACTCTAAAATTTTACAATCCCCCCCCCCCATTCCGCTCACCAGCCACTTCGATTCATCTCGGCCCTAGGACATATCGAATGATACTGACTTACTCGATCTCTTGATCTACACAGTTATGCAGGAAAAATTTTGATTTTTTTTCTAATTTTTCCCCCTCAAATCCCCCAAGTCGAATCGGGTAACCGGCTACATCAATTCATATTCTAATAGCACATCTTTATATGGTATTTGCATTTTTCGCTACTCACCCCTTTTACTAGAAAATATTTCACTTTTTCCGAAATTTCTCTTTAACTATGGGATGGATGGCCACGCCCTCTTCATATTTCGATCCAAATTCCCCTGCCCTATCAACCCTACCACTTACTTTTGTCCTCCCCGCTATACTCAGACCTGTGATCTAAGCATTTCTGGAGACTGCTTTGTTGAACCCCCCCCCCAACTCGCACTACAGAGATGGCCATCTTCTTTTCAGTGTGTAGAAGGGCGACTATCTGCGTCTCTCCGTTTCGCATCATCTCTACCACACTCTCCACCCTCGTGGTTGAGAACTCAAGTGCGACGTTATGACGTCACGGAGGATAGCAATGTTCACCTCAGGTCGTGGTAACGACCACCTAACCTCGACCTTTCTTAATAAAGTCCCTGGAATAGGCGTTTTGGGCAGTCGACCTTACCGCGAGCTGATGGTTACCTGTAAACTGCCAGTTTATGCCACATTACTACCGTCCGTGATCGTGAATATGGTCCTTACTCCTAGCTGTGGTGCAATTTATCGCCAAATTGAAGCCACATCTTCCTTTCACTGAACTCGTCATTTATTTAGCTCTGTTCTGGCGCCAGATTGCGTGGACGCCAAGAATAAGTGTCATATCGTGATCAGGACCACTGTTTACCACTATAAACGAATTTTTGGTCAAAAAATTGTTTTGACCTTCTTGGGTTTGCGTATTGGGTTGTGCCCACGACTTTCGCTATTGAAGTCGTACTTTGCCTCGTTACCTCAAATTAACTAACAACAACGATGAAGCTCGTCGAAAGAAGAGGGAAGGACTTCCGAGCGCACTCAAAAAAGTCAGAAAAGCCGCAAGTGCAATTGCTTCTCTCTCGGTGGGGGAGGACGACAGCTCTGCTAAACGATTAATCGGCAGGAAATGGAGACGGCAGAGCATACTTGGTCACTTGACCAGCGACAGACGTATGTCATGCATGAAAAGAATACGTTCACAACTATCTGACGCTACAGGTGGCCGGAGGTCCGTTGCATCATCCGTACGCTATCGATGTGAGACTACGCTCGCACTGCAGACCAAATGGTCGCCTACAGCCAGGGCACGCCATCGTTGTGATCATCACAAGGGGGGGGGGTCGTATTTGGTCAGAGAAAAATTTTTTTGATAGTTGATTTCTCTTGTTTCACGGACGCTGTAAAGGGGGAAGGTCGTACTTGGCTGAGGGGGGTCGTATCTTGGTCGGTCATGGAGCGCCACTACTGGATTTTCGTGAGTCGTACCAACTCCCAAAAGGGGGGTCGTATTTTAGTATGGAATTAGGGGGGTCGTAATTTTCAGAAAATGATCACAACGCGATGGCGTGCCCTGCCTACAGCCCAAGAAGACATAAAATTTTTTAGCTCAAAACTTGTTTCTAGAGGGTAATCAGTAGTCCTGATCACGATTCTGACACCTATTTTTGGCGCCAATGCCATCTGGCGCCAGCATAGCGCCGAACAGCTAGGTCTGTGAATACTCTTGAATTTGAAAGGAAACAGCGGTTTTGCTTCATGAACAACGGATTATTGAGATTCACGTTAATGTTTTAATAAGAACAAGGTATCTAGAGAATCATGCACCCACAAAATGAATTGTAGAAAAATTGTAGAAAATTACAAGTAAAAAATTGTAGAAAAGCAAAATTTTGTCTCCGGTGGGGTTCGAAGCTTCGACCTATTTTTTACGTTTTTTCTCGGTTTTCTGGTCCTCGTATGTATCCTACAAAATGCAAAGAATTGTTTTCAAGAAGTGCACCACGGGACGACCCACCGTACAAAGCGAATTAAGCGCACTTTTTAGACTGGGCATTCATCAGTCCAGATCACGCCAGACACCACTGCGAGCCCCGCCCCGACGGCCACGCCCACTTGTCAGCGCGGACATAGATTTCAAATTTTGTTTCATAACTTCTGCTTCTATGACTTTTCTCTTTTGCTGTTTCGCACATAAACTTTGACTGAAAGGACTGGACACTGACTCATAGCCGACTCCGCCTATTTTTTTTAAAGATTTGTTGCAGAATTCGATTTCATAACTTCGTAACTTTGTCAACATCGTTGTTTTCACTACCACTCTTCACACAACAAAGGTGCTCGTAGACGCTCATGTATGTACTAATTTCTGTCTCTCCCCCTTGTCCACGCTCACTTTGCGACTGTATGCAAAACTTTGATATTTCTTCAAAATTTTTGCATCTATGTACGGCTACGTGAAGCCCCGCACACCTAAGAAGCTCTGCCCGCTTTTGAGAAGCCCCGCACACTTTTGAGAAATGGTGTAAGTCGGCAGTATAGTCTTAGCTTGCATGCTAGGATATCGTTGGTCACTCGGAACTTTGAAATATTTTGTTGCGAGTGACCAACGAGACCCTAGCATGCAAGCCAAGACTCTATACTGCCGATTTGCACCATTTTTGAAAAGTGGGCGGGCCTTCTCCTAAGTGGATGGAGTTTCTCGCTGTGGGCGGGGCTTCACGTAGCAATGCAAAACTTCTGAAAAATTTCGACAATAAGTTTTGCAAGCAGCAGCCAAGTGGGCGTGGCCAAGAGGGACGAGCTCAAATTTCTAGTGCATAGGCGCGCGTCCACGAGCACCTTCGTTATGTGAAGAGTGCGTGTGAAAACAATGCTGTTGACAGAAGTTATGAAAGCTCGATTCTGCAACAAACAACATCATTCTTCTAAAAAATGGGCGGAATCGGCTATGTGTCGGTGTCCAGCCCTTTTCGGTCAAAGTGCATGGGCGAAAGAGCAAAAGACAAAAAGTCGTAGAAGCAGAAGTTATGAAAAAAAAACTTGAAGATTCATGTCCGCGCT